TGGTAGATTAGGAAATATGTAAAATTTTTACCTTCCTTATTTATAGCTCAATTACTTGTAAAGCATTCCAATTCTTTGTATATATTCTGATGAATATCAATAGGGGGAGACACAGACTTTACAATTTTGGCTATTTTTAATAGTCAATGCTCTATATATTTAACATCTTCTAATCAATCTTGAAGATGCGGTCTTTAAATCCGCCCTAGTCAAAATTAAATGATGACATTTTTAAGAAATAGTATCTCAACAGTGGCATTTTAAAAAATTCTCTTAGTTTAGACTGCAAGTGAAGAGGTGCTACACATATATAAGCGGTAGAATACAACATATATTTTCTTTTTAGTTCTACCAATATTTGATCTTCCAATTTTTTGTTCGTTGACATGCCAAGAGCATCATGGTGCAGTGGCAGTGATTTCATTTGCAAGCTCTGTGGCACATGAGGTTCAACCCCATCATCTTTCATGTGAGGCAAAATAGGTTAGTAGGTCAGTCCGTTGTAACTTACCTAAAAACTAAAAACGACAAAAAAAACATGCCCTGATCCAAAATTTATATATTTTCTTAGGACATCTCCAATGTATTTCTCTATAATTATCTCTAAAATAGAGTAAAAAATAGCATTTCTCTATTTTTTCTCCAATGTATGACTCTATTTTAAAAAAATGCTATTTTTTCTTGTCTTTTAGGATATGACAAAAAAAATCTTTATTTCTATCTCCAAATATAGAAAAAAAATAGTAATTTATATTATAAAGACGAAAATAGAGATGGATTGAAGTAAATTTGACTCTAAATTCTATTTTAGAGATGAAAATAGAGATGGATTGGAGATGGTCTTAGCGTATAAAAAAAATAAAAATAAAGAAACTACAAAGTCAAATTAAATTTAAACTAGAGAAAAAAAGTAGAATAACTTTTGGGCTTCAACTTTTTGACGGAAGAGAAAAAAGGCTTTTTAACTGTAATCACTTTCTTTCATGGCAGTGTCGTAATTATTCTTCACATACATCACTTTAGCATTTTACTAATTTCAGAAAAATGTGACATTGTGAGAGAGAGTAAACTTGAGAAAGCTCTTTAACGTCAAACCGCCCGTTAAGTGTTTATTAACGGAAAACCGCTATTCATATTTCACTCCTACGTGCAAAAGACTTGACACCGAGTCCAAACGCTGTCGTTTTTAACACAATACGATTCTCACTTCTGTTTTCAACTGAGAACACAAAAAGGCTGAAAATCAAATAAGCGGTTTACCGTTCTCTCGGCGATGATACGATAAAGCTAAAAAGAGAGAGCTTCTCGGCGATTCCAAAACATTTGGTGGTCTGGTCCCGATGGGCTGCGTTTGCGGCAAGACCTCCGCCACTGGAGACAAACCTAATCCCGATCAAGCTCCGGGCCGTGAATCTAAGCCGGACGATTTGCCTTCTTCCTCCGCCGCAGCATCTGTGTCGGAAGAAGAGACGAAGAAGGAGTTAGGTTCGGTTCAGATTCAAGCGGCGAGAACGTGGCACACTGGCGACTTCTCCGCTGGCTCCTCTCGCCGGCCGTTGGGGATGAGTCTCCGTACGCCGGAAGGTTGGCCTCCGTGGCTGATTGCTGCTTGCGGCGAATCGATTAAAGACTTGACTCCTCGCCGAGCCACCACTTACGAGAAGCTCGAAAAGGTAACCAAAATGTTCCCATATATTTATACATTTTTTGGGGGTTTTAAGATTCGCATTAAATTATTTAGTATAATCAAACACTAATCATTAGCAAGAAATGATGAAATCTTGCTGGTATGGTTAGAAAGTTTTTTTTTTTTTTGGAGCTTTATATGTTTCCTTTTTGATTAGTTTATTTGGTTAATTAAACTTTTTGTTTTGTTGTAATGAATGATGCAATCTTGGATTCTAGATTGGGCAAGGAACTTACAGCAATGTGTACAAGGCGAAAGATCTATTGACTGGGAAAATAGTTGCTTTGAAGAAAGTCAGGTTTGATAATTTGGAGGCAGAGAGTGTTAAATTCATGGCCAGAGAGATTCTTGTGCTCAGACGACTAAACCATCCTAATGTTATAAAGCTTGAAGGCTTAGTTACTTCGAGGGTTTCGTGTAGTCTCTACCTTGTTTTTGAGTACATGGAGCATGATCTCTCTGGTCTTGCTGCAACTCAAGGTCTCAAGTTTGATATTCCTCAGGTGTGTAATTGAGTTTTTTTTCTTTTTCCTGGTCATGTTTATATCTGCTTTGTTTTGTTTCTAATGTGCCTTTGGTGATGTTAGAATTATTCTTCTGTCGATCCATTTTTGCATCATGTTTTTGATTCTGGTGAATTTTCGACGTCCTTTACTAATATTCTTCTTCAGGTCAAATGCTTTATGAAGCAGCTACTATCTGGGCTGGAGCATTGTCATAGTCGAGGAGTCTTACATCGGGATATTAAAGGTTCTAATTTGTTGATAGATAATGATGGAATACTGAAGATAGCTGATTTTGGGTTGGCTACGTTTTATGACCCAAACCAAAAGCAAACAATGACTAGTCGTGTTGTCACACTCTGGTACCGTCCTCCTGAGCTTCTTCTTGGGGCTACCAATTATGGAACTGGTGTTGATCTTTGGAGTGCCGGTTGTATTATGGCAGAGTTACTTGCTGGCAAGCCGGTTATGCCAGGAAGAACCGAGGTAAACAAAATCGTGTTTATCTTGTTCTACGCAGTCCAACCAAAAAACTAATAAGATTGTTCTTTACTGTTTTTCTTAACCAATTTGTTATGTGTGTAGGTCGAACAACTTCACAAGGTATTTAAATTATGTGGCTCCCCTTCAGATTCGTACTGGAAGAAGTACAAATTGCCAAATGCGACTCTTTTTAAGCCACAACATCCATACAAACGATGTGTGGCTGAAGCCTTCAACGGTTTCCCTCCATCCACTCTTCATCTAGTCGAGACACTTCTCGCTATAGACCCTGATGATCGAGGAACTTCTACCTCGGCCTTAAGTAGTGAAGTGAGTCGTCCTTGGCCTTTAATCTTTCGATTGTTTGATATATTAACTTGAACTTTGAGATTTTCCATAATTGTTTTGGTTGGGAATAGAAGAAGTAGGAGGTTAGTTTGTGATAAGATGTCATGCAAGCAAAAGCAATTCCTGAGCAAAAGCATTCTAATATTTGGTTTTGTGTGCAGTTCTTTACTACTGAACCGTTAGCATGTGAACCATCAAGTTTACCTAAGTATCCACCTTCCAAAGAATTGAATGTAAAACTGAGGGACGAAGAGGCAAGAAGGTACTCATTTGTATCTTCTTCTATACGTTTTATGGATGCTCATGTTATTGATTAGTAATTGGTCTCATCTTATGGCTACATTCATTGTACTTTTAGGCAAAAGGGTCTTGCCGGAAAAGCTAGTGGTGTTGATGGAGTTAGAAGAATAAGGTACCGTGGGGATCGCACTGGGCGAGCTATTCCAGCCCCAGAAGCTAATGCCGAGATTCAAACAAACTTAGACGTGAGAGAATTCTCCTTTTATCCCATTCATACTCATGCACACACACAGACACACTGTCTTCATATGAGCATATATATTATTCCTGTTAACGCTATCACTAGTTTTAATCAGACTGATTGCAACAATTCATTGACGAGTACAATATGCATAGGCTTCTAAATCAGTTATCGTATCAACCGTTAAGCAGGGTAATTTTCATTGCATTGGGAGATAGTTCTAGAAAAGAGTAATCAGGGATTCAGGATTGTGTATGTAACCCTGTCCCAGAGGCATTTCATACTGTAATGTTTCCCCTTGCTGCTGTGTTTTGCAGAGATGGAGAGTAACAACACAAACAAATGGAAAGAGCAAGAGCGAGAAGTTCCCACCACCTCACCAGGACGGTGCAGTTGGGCACCCATTGGAAGGTCAGTCAAAGAAAAGCTCAGTATTTGGTGCAAAGCCTGAGACTACTTTGGGGTTATCGAGATCTTTAAAGTCTGGGGAAGGGCCATCCATGAGAAAGATTTCAGACAAAGACGGGTCTCGCGGGTCTTCTTCTTCTAGAAAGTACAGATGGGGACTTAAGCCTCCTCCAGCTCTTGGGCTATCGATGGACTTACTTTTCAGGAGCAGATCAGAAGTTTTTGGGATCCGGAGATAGGATAGGTAAATGGGAAATGAGTTGGGTAGTCCATCAAAATAAGAGATTTGTTTCCATTTCAAGTCAGAGGAGAGAGATTGGATGAAGAAGTTCAAATTCTTTGTAGC